CTCTTTAAAGTGGAAATAAAGATCCTAAATCCTTTCTTTTCCCCATCAACTCACCTTGGAATTTCCTGACTGGAAAATTGAGATTCAGCACCAGGATCAGCGTTTATTAAATCCCAGAGGATTTTTTTTAATTTTTTTTTTTTTTTTTTAATATCCTGGATTTTATAAACGGAATAAAAGCTCGAAATCTCCACATGGGCATGGAGCAAAATCCCCCCCAAATAAAATTATTTCCACTGGAAAAATCAATTTTTTAAATTTTATTTTATTTTATTTTTTTTTTGAGGGATCATCTCCATCATTCCCAAGATTTCTTCCCACCCTGCTGGATCCGGATTTTCCTCTGGGGGATAAAAGAAGGAATTTTGTCCCCCCCCCAAAAAAACGAGGCTGGAGTGGGAAAAAGAAACATCTCCGAGATTTTCCCATCATCCCCCCTGAATCCTTGAGCATCCCAAGGAAAAATCCAGAAAATCCCAAAAATGTGGTGTCCAGGATCAAATTTAATGTGCAAACCAACTTAAAAAAAAAAAAAAAAAAATTAATTTAAAACCGACCCCGAACCCTCCCCGGTCAGAAAAACCAAAGGTGCCACCCCCCAAAAAAAGGAGAATTCCCCCCAAAATTCCAGGAAGCCCCGGGAAAGGCTCAGATTTGGTCTCCTGGCAGATTTTGGGGAGAAAATCCAAATTTGGGATTCCAGTTCGGGGAGGATTTCCAAATTAACCATCAATGAAATTATTTCCGTTTTCAAATTGACCATAAATTCAACAATTCTGATTTCCATATGAATCATAAATGAAATTATTCCCATTCCCAAATCAACCATAAATTAAATTATTCTGATTTCCGTATTAATCATAAATGAAATTATTCTGATTTCCAAATTAACCCTAAATTAAACAATTCCCATTTCCAAATTATCCCTAAATGAAACAATTCCAGTTTCCAAATTAACCATAAATTAAACAATTCCCATTTCCAAATCAACCCAAAATTAAACAATTCCAGTTCCCAAATTAACCCAAAATTAAACAATTCCAGTTTCCAAATTAACTGTAAATGAAACAATTCCTATTTCCATATTAACCGTAAATTAAACAATTCCCATTTCCAAATTAACCATAAATTAAGTAATCCCAGTTTCCAAATTAACCATAAATTAAACTATTCCCATCCAAATTAACCCAAAATTAAACGATTCCCATCCAAATTAACCCCAAAATTAAACGATTCCCATTTCCAAATTAACCCCAATGGAACCGATTCCGTTCCCGTCGCTTTTCCCGCCCCCCGGGGGATTTTGGGATCTCCATCCCGGTGTCCCCGCGGCCGTGGAAGGTGAGCAGGTGACAGGAGGTGACACCTGCGGGGTCCTCAGGCCACGAGCAGCAGGAGGAAGAGGAGGACGAGGTGGCCCAGGGCCACCAGGGCGCTGGGGGTGGCACCGGAGACGGACGAGGACTCCCCTGGGGGCAGAGGGATGGTCCCAAAATCCGGGAAAAGGGATTTGGGAAAAGGGAAAGGGATTGGGAAAAGGGATTTGGGAAATGGGAAAAGGGAAAGGGAAAAGGGAAAAGGGAAAGGGAAAAGGATTTGGGAAAAGGGAAAGGGAAAAGGGAAAGGGAAAAGGGGTTTGGGAAATGGGATTTGGGAAAAGGGATTGGGAAAAGGGATTTGGGAAAAGGGAAAGGGAAAAGGGATTCGGGAAAGAGTTTGGGAAAGGGATTTGGGAAAAGGCATTGGGGAAATGGGATTTGGGAAAAGGATTAAGGAAAGGGATTTGGGTCAATTTTGGGGTGGAAAATCAGGACAAAGGAACAGCCTCGAGCTGTGCCAGGGGAGGCTCAGGGTGGGAAATTCAGGAAAATCCCAAAAGCTTGGAAAGGGCGGCCAGGCCTTGGTGGGGACTCAGGGAGGGTTGGAGTGACCATCCCTGGGGGTCCCCAAAAAATTCCCAGGGATCCCTCTGGGTGATCCTTGGGGGTGTCTCAGGAATTCCAGAGATCCCTCTGGGTGATCCCTGAGGGTGCCCAAAAAATTCCCAGGGATCCCTCTGGGTGATCCCTGGGGGTCCCCAAAAAATTCCCAGAGATCTCTCTGGGTGATCCCTGGGGGTTTCTCAGGAATTCCCAGAGATCCCTCTGGGTGATCCTTGGGGGTTTCTCGGGAATTCCCAGGGACCCCTCTGGGTGATCCCTGGGGGTCCCCAAAAAATTCCCGGAGATCCCTCTGGGTGATCCCTGGGGGTGTCTGAGGAATTCCAGAGATCCCTCTGGGTGATCCCTGGGGGTCCCCAAAAAATTCCCAGGGATCCCTCTGGGTGATCCTTGGGGGTGTCTCAGGAATTCCAGAGATCCCTGTGGGTGATCCTTGGGGGTCCCCAAAAAATCCCTGGAGATCCCCCTGGGTGATCCCTGGGGGTGCCCAAAAAATCCCTGGAGATCCCTCTGGGTGATCCCTGGAGGTGCCCGAGGAATTCCAGAGATCCCTCTGGGTGATCCCTGGGGGTGTCTCAGGAATTCCCAGGGATCCCTCTGGGTGATCCCTGGGGGTGCCCGAGGAATTCCCAGAGATCCCTGTGGGTGATCCCTGGGGGTCCCCAAAAAATTCCCAGGGATCCCTCTGGGTGATCCCTGGGGGTGTCTGAGGAATTCCCAGGGATCCCTCTGGGTGATCCCTGGGGGTGTCTGAGGAATTCCCAGAGATCCCTCTGGGTGATCCCTGGGGGTTTCTCAGGAATTCCAGAGATCCCTGTGGGTGATCCCTGGGGGTGTCTGAGGAATTCCCAGGGATCCCTCTGGGTGATCCCTGGGGGTCCCCAAAAAATTCCCAGGGATCCCTCTGGGTGATCCTTGGGGGTGTCTCAGGAATTCCCAGGGATCCCCCTGGATCAGCTCCGTGTTGCACCCCTCACCTCGCAGCTCTTTCCCAACCCCAACAACTCTTGGGGATCTCTCTGAACGTCCCCAAATCCCCACTCTGGGGACATCCCGGAGCCGAGACCGCCCCCCCCGCGGAGCCGTGGCCGTACCTGTCCAGGTGCAGGGGGGCCGGAAGGTGAGCGAGGCGCTGTTGGAGGACACGGCGTTGCTCACCCTGCACACGTAGGTCTCCACGGTGGGGTTGAAGGACACGCTGAGCACGGGGCCGCGGTTCCTCGGCAGTTTCTGCACCGGGATCCACTCGTAGGTGACGCCTTCGAGGGCCACGGAGCAGCTGAGGGTGGCGTTGCACTGCCAGGAGTCACCCACGGTGGTGGCCCCAACCTGGGGCTTGGGGACCAGATCTGCAGGAGAGGCCGGGGTGGCACAAAGGCCCCGTGGATTTCGGGGACGATTCCCCCCGGGTGGCACAAAGCCCCCAAACAACCTGTAGGACGTGTGACGTGACGTCACAACACCCCCCACGGGGCTCTTGGACAACCCCAAAGATGTCACAACGTCCCCAGCCCACCCCTGGAGCTCGGGGACAATCCCCAGGACATCCCAATGTCCCCGTGGAGCTCGGGGACAATCCCCAGGATGTCACAACGTCCCCGCAGAGCTCGGGGACAATCCCCAGGATGTCACAACATCCCCGCAGAGCTGTGGGACAATTTTTTAAGGGAAATCACAAAGTCCCCAACCCATCTGTGGGGCACCTGAACAACCCCTAGGACACCACAATGTCCCCACAGAGCTTGGGGACAATTCCCAGGACATCCCAATGTCCCCACGGAGCTCGGGGACAATTCCCAGGACATCCCAATGTCCCCACAGAACTCGGGGACAATTCCCAGGACATCCCAATGTCCCCGTGGAGCTCGGGGACAATTCCCAGGACATCCCAATGTCCCCACAGAGCTTGGGGACAACCCCTAGGACATCCCAATGTCCCCACAGAGCTTGGGGACAATTCCCAGGACATCACAATGACCCCACAGAACTCGGGGACAATTCCCAGGACATCCCAATGTCCCCGTGGAGCTCGGGGACATCTCCCTGTCCCCAGACTCACCGTAGACCCTCAGCCGGACGACCTCGATCCTCTCCCTGCCGGTGTCATCCTGCAGGTACAGGTGGAAGTCGCTGCTGTCCTCCACCCTCAGGTCCCTCATTTTTAGGGCGTTGTTCTCCAGGAGCTCCAGGCGCCCCTTAAAGCGGCTCTGGGGGTACCTGGGCTCCTGTCCCCGCTGCCGGCTGGCGATTGTCACCTGGTTTTTCCAGCGCCAATGGATTCGGGAATATTCGGAGGGATTTTGGGGGCCGGGGGGGGTCAGGAATGCCACCCTCCCGACGGCTCCGTTCACCTCCAAGGGTTGGGGTTCTTCTGCCCAGGCTGCCAAAAAAAACCCACCAAAACCCAAAAAACGGGGATGGTGTTGTGGGGTCACTTGGAATTTCCTGGGTTTTGTCCCGCTTGGAATTCCAGGCACGTTTGAAATGCAAATTATCTCGAATATTCAAACCGAAAATTCAAATAATTCCACCCATTTCTGGAGCCTTCAGAGGGGCAGGACAAAGATTTCAAGTTTTCCCCTCCCCAAATTCCTCACTTTCACTGTTTTTTTTTTGGGGGGGGATTTCCTGTGGGGACAGTCAGTCCCTCCCACCCAAGGCGCGGTGGCTCCCGTGGGGAC